AAGAAGCAAATTCATCCATAGGAGCAACATCTAGAGAATTCTATTTTACCCCTGCTGAAGAATCCCTGCTGCCATCCTCCGAAATAAGTAGCAAGGCACACCCTTTTAGGGCATACTCCAAGCCCAACTCCTTGGAGGAACCATCAGAGGCACTGCAGGATGGACTGGGGTGCCTGGAGGGTTGAATCTGAGCCACAGGTTGGAAGTTCTGCCCCCTAGCTTAAGACATGAGTAACTACAGCCAGCACCACACTTCCCAAGAATTCACACAGGCTGGGTGCATGCACCACTTGGCTTATCCAGAAACACTCTGTCCTTCTAACGAGAGGGCAATGCCATCCAAAGCAAAAGGAATCCCTAGTCTTCTTTCAGACTGCAGACTATAGATCCTAGAGAATATCTGCAGCAGGCCAACCCAATGACCAAATTCAATTTCGGAAAAGGCAACAACCACATACACAGAATCCCAAATAAAACCAATAAAGACCATTTCAGTTATCTCATTGCACGTTATATATTGGATAAAAGTGTTTGCTTTCAGAGCAGAAATGGATTTAACTGCAAAGAAGATGATCAAGAGAAAGCCTCTTTCGCTTCCTAATTAGATGTTAGGAAGATACACACTGGGAACAAAATAATGTATTTATGGGAAGCTGTGTTCAGCAAAAGCCAGCCACTTAGTGGAGGCTTTTTGTTTTGTCTAATACTAAGGAATTTGTCACTTCTAATTTCAGTAATTTGGGTAGCAAATCAGAAAACTACTTAGTAGCTGGGTGCACCTTCTTCACGCCCCCTCCCTTTCTTAGAGCTTTTATCTCCAGAAAAGCTTTTATCTCTGAGCAGAGGCAAGTTGGACAGAACTTTTCTTCCCTTCCAGAAAGAGAGGGACTGGGCTTAGGGAAGAAGTCGCCTGGTGATTCCTTTTGAGCAGACATGCAGAAGCTAAGTATGTATGATGCTATTTAGAAAAAAAAACTTGTGCTTATTCTGAGTAGGGTTACAACTGGTGACAAGCTTATCCTCCAACACCTGCTTTGCCTTAGGTCCACCCACTGATAGCATGTGGCCTTTCAAATATTGGTGAGATGTATCAGTCAAAAATGTTCATGACTCTTAATTTTAAACTCTCTTAATTTCCCAGTCCTGACTCCGGTTGGCTTCAGTCTCTCATACCCACTTTTCATGACACACCAGAAGGAAAGAAGGAAAGACAGACAGACAGACAGACAGACTTCCTTGCACTTTAAGTCTCTGGATACTGATCATTACAACAAGATAACTGAGTTATGAAGGATATCTGTTACAGTGCAGAAAGAAAACTATGGAGTGAATTTCTTTGGGTGGGAAGGAAGGGGAGAAGGGAAGGAGATACCATAACTTCTAGCCTTATAAAACCTCTTTTAAAACCTTGCTGTGCTGAGGCTCACCGAGAACGGAGGGGAGGCATTTTAAATTTCAAAGAGAGACATGCAGGGGACACATGCTTATGCAGAATAACCACATGTGTTATTAGCCCTTCTTGCTTATACCCATAGGAAGTGCAGCCTGCCACCTACTGGCTGGAAGGATAAAGGTTCTATTTGTATTCAGATACACCTTTACTATATTGTTGGTGACTTGCAAATAATCCTTAACTATTAAACCCGGCCACAATGTGCAGCTCGTTTTTTTTTTTTTTTTAAGTTTCCTAATACCTAAGGAAAAATAAGCTTCCCAATCATAATATTCCCAATCAAACACTGCAGCTCAAAAAGTATCTTTTTTATTCTTTAAAGTAATAAATAAAATGCAATCATTTTTCTTTCATCCACCTGAGGTCCTTACAGAGGGAAAAGCATTTAGGCTTGCCTGCAGGTTCCTCCGTTCCAATTATTTAATAAGAAAGAGAAAATAATCCTGCTTCACACCAGCGAACAAACATGCTTTAGCACAGTTGTAAACTAGCCAACCCAATCACCTAGCCTACAGTCTGCACTCCAATTCCTTTGCATTATTAAAAGTAAATATATTTCTTTACTAAGACAGGGAAGCATATCAGGCTTGCTTTTTTGGATATTTCGCTTTCAAAAACTGACATAAGATTTTCAAGATTCACTATGCCACAATATTCAGCTTTCTTTACCAAAGCCATGAATTTCAAAGTTAGATAACAAATATAAAAGAATGCTGTTACAATAAACAAAGTTAATTACTTGTCATCAATATATCCTTACCCTAGACATCATGATAGGGGGAGAAAATAAATTGGGTTCTCAGATTTGCATTAGGAGATGCAGTTCTGACCTCTGAGTTGGGCATCCACGCTCAGGTCTCCTGCCTGGGGCAAGGTAGGAAAGGGAACAGGGAGGGGAGGAAACTGGGAGCTTCAGTCATCCCCCCTATGCCTCTGAGGAACCTCAGCTAGACGGCCAAAACCAGCCATGGCTAAAATTCGGAGTGGAACACACAGATAGCTGCAGACCGCCTGTGGATGTCCATACATCCACTAGATATAAAACAGGTAAGGTATAATTAATGTGTATAGATATAAAATATTCTGTTCCAACAAAACCCGAGATATGTAGCATAATTCCCAGAGCGTCTCATAAAATCCTGAAAAATTCCTCAAGTGTCTCTTTTGCAATAGGACTTTAGAGACCAACAATGAATCTCAACACTTCCAAGGAACACTGCTTCCTATGGCATGAGAAATAGCTCAGTGACTTCTCATCACTTTGGCCCAGTTTTTAAACTGCAAACACAGCCGAAAAACTGGAGAAAGGGATTCCCTGTACTGTATGTGGAAGACCAATATGAACAGAATTGTGCAATTCAAGAGTGCTGTACGCAATGCCCTTAAGAGTCCTACAGCACCAGGTAAGCCCAGTTTTTGTTTTGCAATTTTAAATTTGGTGATAAAGCAATTTAGAAAGCTCTTCATTCATTCACCATATTAAACATACTGACCAGAAGATGGGAATGGCAAGGACAGACTGAAAGGACAGAGCTCTGAGGCCTAAGAGGGAAATTATGGCGACAAGTAGGACATCCATGGGCTTGATGTGACAAGGTTTTTACTGGTGTTACACCCTCTGGACTCAGTTTCCAATTGAGACTAATACCCCTGCAGGTTCTTGGGACCATCAAAGTGAGAACAGTTAGTGGAAGAATGACAGACCTGGACCTGGAGTGGTAGCACCTGGGATGGAGATGACAGAACTCAGACAGAGATTATGGGCCCTAGGAAAGAGTGGCTGTCCTTGAGCGGCAATGATGATTCCTGGAACTGGGATGACAGGCCCACAATGACAGACCCTGAGGATGTCATGAGTGGTTTCAGGTGACAACACTGTGGCCTTATTACAGGGCAGGGACAAAGCTGATGCCCCAGGACTAAAGTTGAAGGACTGAGCATGTGACAACAGGCTTTTGATGCTGCCATGACTGGTCCATAACTTTGGTTTTCTGGTCTATTGATGCAAATGATGATCTTAAGTTTATCAGGGGAAACATTGTTCTTAGCACTACTTTTACATGACCGTTAAGTATCTGCCTGTATATAGCCAATGCACAAGAATCAACATTTTTCACCATAAAATGAAAAACATATGGTTAGCAACAATAGGAAAAAATGAAAAACTCTTCTCCCTATTTGTCTTCTGCACATTTAATTTTGACAGGACCAAGTATTTCAATGAACAGATAGCCACAACACTTTTAATTCTGCGACAGTGACATTATTTGAATTGCTTCCCAGGTTTTACCATTACCAGTTAAATACCTTGAACAGTTAGTGGTGTTTGCTTGCAGGAAAAAGCCTGATAGAACTCTCTCTCACTAGAACAACTCATTGTTGAATAAGAATTTTGGGCAAAACATATGCAAATATTGCTCCTCTGCCGAGTTCTCTCTTAGTGACAACAAAATATACTGCACAAACCCGTATCTCTACTTCTACTTGCAGGCAAACAAGTTTATTTGCTTATGGGACAAGAATACAGTATTGCAAACAGTGAAGATACTAAAAACTGGACGTAAGTTTGCACAGGAACTGCAAGTGCTGGAAAAGTTCAATGCATTGGCTCCTTCACAAAACCATGCCACAGGTTTCTTCTTAGGGCTGAGAAGAAATGACAGACTCAATGGCTTGTGCCATTCACAAATAAAGAAACTAGGAAATGGTTGGTATGTGCAGAAGAGACACCAAAGGCAACTTCTCATGGGAAGAACGAAGAGCATCAAACTACAAGAAGCATGCAGCTTATTCCTCTAACAAAACTTATATTTGGAAGAAAAGCAAGTCCTTCTTTGCACAGGGAGATGAGACGGGATATGTGATCACCACAAAATAGATTTTGCTTTTATTTTGCTTAAGAAAGCATTTGCTCCTGGAATAAGTGAAACTAACATGCACAGATTACATACCCAGACTTAGTAAAAAAGTTGAAACACTTAATACATTTTAACTAAGGTGGGCGCCTATGATAACTGGGGGCGCAGATCAACTTTGTCCTCAAAGGCATAGTGCTCAGATACCCTGACAATGTTGCACTGATACTGAACGCACTTCGAGGGGTACTCAGCCACAGGGCCCAAAGAACACACGCGGGCCCCGGGCCGGCTCTTTCAGCCCCGGGACCCTCGCCTCGCTGCACGGCCCCATCGCACTGCTCCTGGAGGGCTGTCCGGCGCCCGGCCGGCCTCCGAGGCCGAGCGGGGAGAGCGCGCAGGCCGGCCGGCCCTCCCCGTGCCCGGGGATCGCACGACCCGGCCGCGGCCAGCGCCGCCGCCAACACCAGGCGCGGCCCTCTCCTCTCCTCGCCGTCCCTCCCCTCCCCTCCGGGGCCCGAGGAGGTCGGGGAGCCTCCAGCCCCGCCCGGGTCTTCCGCGGGCCTTCCGGGGCCCCCACTGTTCCCGGGGCCATCCGCGTCCTCCCGCTCGGCCCGGCCCCGTCGCGGCCAGCCTCGCAAGGCCCCGCGACCGCAGCCCGGCCAGGCGGGCCGGGCCCGCGGCTCACTCACCAGCCGGACTCGGCGAGGGTCGCGGCCCTCCCGTCTGCCATGGCGGCGCGTCGTCCCGCGGCCTGGCGCCTCGCCGAGCTGCGGGCCGCGCGGGGGCGCGGGCGGCGTCGCGGTGGGCGTCTGGCCCGCCCTGCGAGGAGCGCGGCGGAGGAGCGC